GGAAAGTTTAGAAAATTAATGAGATTTTATGTGTAAAGCCTTCCAGAGTTAGAGGTCTACAATGAAAGATGTTCTAAGAGCTTTTCCTCATGGTAACAGAGGAATGTAAAATATGACTGGACTTGTCTTGATGTTATCTGAGGGGAAGGGGAGTGATAGCTTCTAATAGTATCATCCTTTTGGGAACTACATCTTAAGCCACTGTTGAGGAGAAATGGGCAGGATTGGGTCTTTGTGGTGGGAGTGGAGGCAGTGGAGGTCTTGCTGGGAGCTCTGTGGGTTTCTGCTCCGAGTAAGGTTCAAGGAAACTGTGAGTAGTGTGGTTTGGGGGAGGGTGGAGGAGAAGGTTTGCTCCTAGCAATAATATTAGAAGTTGTCTTTAAAAATGTCATAAGCTAGGAATGCCTGGATGGCTCAGTCGGTTGAGCGTGTGACTCTTGGTTTCTGCTCAAGGCATGATGTCATGGGTTGTGGGATCGAACCCCGCATGGAGCTGCGTGCTCAGCCGAGAGTCTGCTTGAAGATTCTCTCCCTCTGCCCCTCCTCCCACTTGTTCTCTCTCTCTCTAAAGTAAATAAATAGATCTTTTTAAAAATCTCATAAGCTAATGCTAAGGTGTATTAAAAGACAAATTGAGGCATACTAGACATTTTAAGAGTTTATTTGAGCAAAAATTGATTTGAATCAGATAGCACCATACTGGAAATGATTAGGAGTTCCCTGCCTTATACAGAGAAAATGTAGAAGCAAAGAAAGGAAATTATTTCACTGGCTATAGCTTAAAGCCTAGTTGGCAATTTGTGACTGGTTGTCCTTAGTGTTTTGATTTTGTAACTTTGAAGCATTTACAGGCTTACATTTTGGTTTACTCACTATGACAATAGAGCCACCTCAGTATAAGAGTCTCCTTGTTTAATTAATTTAACAGGTGGTGATCATATTGCAGTATATAAATATATCAAGTCAATATGTTGTACACCTTAAACTTGCATGATGTTATATGTCAATTATATCTCAATAAAAATTTTTTTAAACATGTCAAAAAAAGTCATGAGATTCACCTGTCCTACAGATATTAAAACCATTTAAATTAATAAATAATTAAAATGAGGTGTTAATGGTATAAAAAGATATGTCTTGATCATTGGAACAGAACTAGTACATTAAAATTTAACAAACTAAAGGAGAGAGAACAAACAATGTGAAAAATGAGGATTAAGAAACCACATAGATAATTTGGCTTAGCTAAAATTTAAAACTTAAGAAAAATAAACTTTGACACAAAAATACACCAAATAAAATAACAGATATAAGGAAACTTTAAATATATAAATAGAAATAGTTTGGCTATGAATCAGATATCCAAAAGAGAAGACAAATTTTTGAGTTTAACAATAGAGAAAAGATAAAAAAAGATAACCATATATTTTGTTAGATACAAGTTTTAAATTTCAGTATGTCAGTAAGTAAAAATAATATAATTAACCATTTTGACAGTTATTTTTAGAAAGATACCTAGAAAAGATACATACCTTTGTATACTTGTTTATATCTTGTTATCTTAATTATATCTTGATTCTAATTAAGATTCCAGTTTTTAAACTACCAGTCCAAAACAAACAACAATTACCCAATAAACAGTAGGGGCACCTGGGTGGCTCAGTTGGTTGAGTGTCTGACTCTTGGCTCAGGTCATGATCTCAGGATCATGGTCTCAGGGTCATGAGATCGAGCCCCACATCAGCTCCAAGCTCAGCGCAGTCTGCTTATCCCTTATCTCCCCACCTGCCCCGCTTGCTCTCTCTTTCAAATAAATAAAATCTTTAAAAAAGAAAAATGTAAGTAAACTACAGACAGTAAACAAGTTGTAGAACAATGTCAAATCTAGCTACTATCAAAGAAATATAAAATAAAGAACTATTTTTTAACATTAAATTACCAAAATATTAAATGATAACCAGTTAGTTGATTCCTGGAATCTTATTCTAAAGAACTAATTCAAAATAATAATAAAAAAGTCAATGTGTGAAAAGGTAATCATCTTTCCATTACTTATAATAATAAAAAATTGTTAATCTCAAAATAAGTGAACAGTCAGAATAATAGGCAGCCATTAACAATAAAGTTTATGAAGAATATGTAGCAGAATGAAAAAGACTGTTATAATCCAAAGTAAAAAAGCATATACTCATTTTACATGACTACAAGGGTATAAAAACCACAAATGACTAGAAGAGATTATATAAAGATGCTACTTGTTAAATCGTGGTGGCAAAATTATGGATGATTTTCCTCTGTTTCCAAATTTTTAAAAATAATGTTGTATAGGTTTTGGTAACACCGTGCATCTTCCCTTTATGTTTGCTTCAGAGATGTTGGCCTGAGTGGGTGAAAAACAATAAATTTCTTTTATGAATTTCATAGCATCCCTAAATTTTGTAATATTGTAGAAAACTATAATGACATTAAGGATAAATGGCATATTTGCTGTACTTAAGAGAGTTGGAATATTGATGATGAAAGAATTTCAAAGACACCATATCTCCAGCTGCATCCATACATCTTCGAAAGATGCTTTGACCTTTAAGAAAGAACAAAACCTTTTAGAGTTAATCAGGAATTTTCTAAAATTGATACCTTGAAAAGTTTACTTCCTAGTGAAACCTTATTATCTGAAAAAAAGAAAGAAAGCAGAGTCCACAGTTATATAAGTCTTATTTTAAAATGTCTTCTAGTAGCTAATACTATAAAAGATGTGCCATGTTTATTTCATGATGGATAGTCCTCAAAATATTGCTCTTCTGCATATTATCACTTTATCAAAATTCAAAAGCTATATGAGTAGAGGGCCATATGAATCTAATCATATCTTAAATTTTCATGTTCAACAAGCAGCTGTATAAACCATAGGGAATCTCACTGAAATGTCCTCTAGCAGTTTTAATGCAGATGGCAAAATACAAACGCTTCGTTACCGAAGCATAACTAGACACCACGGCTTCATGACAGAGAATGATGCAATCTGTAGACTCTTTCAGCGTGTGCTCCGCAAGTGGGAGGCAGGAAAAAGCTTCAACATAAAAACAGCTTAGAACCACATGCTTATAAGAAAAGTTCAATACGTATCCAGCTGTAACTTCCTATTTTACATGGAGCCTGTATTTCTTGGCTTGGATGAAGTATATTCTAAATCTCTTTGTCTTAGTCCTCCTGGATATAATGAAGCAAAGGAGTGGGTGTAATGCAGAGGGAATGTGTGTTTAGACTCCACAGGAGTTGTTCCATTTTGTTATAGAAAACAAAGCTTTTGATAGCCCAGCCTCAAGTGTTTAAAGCAGCCTTAGAGAAGCTGAATACAGCTGTCCTCTGCTATGAGCCCTTCACAGGGAGACTTGCAAAGCCTTTGCTCAGTAGAGCAGTCCTCAGAGGACATCCCACCCAGTTCTCTGTCTCCATTTTCCTCTTTTCTCAGGTGACCCAATTCTGTGTCCTCACATCCCTGAGTACAGGCAGATCAGTAGTGGTTCAAATCATCAAGCTCCTGGTAAAACAAGCCAAATTAAAGGGATCCAGAAGAAACATTGTTAGTGTTTGCAAATAGGGTGAAGCCCTATGTTTTTGCATGTATATTGATCAGAACACTACCATAATCTTATTGGTAAGAGCACAATTTAGATGACATTTTATTTATTTTTTTATTTTTTTAAGATTTTATTTTAAAGTAATCTCTACACTTAATGTGGGGCTCAAACCCACAACCCTGAGATCAAGGGTCTCATGCCCCACCAGCTGACCAGCCAGGCATCCCTAGAAGATATTTTAAAAATAAGTTTATTGAAATGTTGCTTGTTCTTTTCTGCCATTCTAATGTTTAAAAATCTTGGCCATTTATTTGCATTATTATCACACTAGTCTTGTGATTTAGGCTACATTCATAGTAAGCAATTAAGGCATGCCAGTTTCCAACCAGAATCATGATCTTGATGATAATTCAAATACTGGCAAATCATCAGAGGGGTTTCAGATGTTGCAGAATGATTGGTTCTTGAAGACATGGAATACTCAAGGGGTTACCTCTCTTCCAACCCTTGACATGGGACTGAGATCACTAAAAAATAGACCCCAATACATGGTCATAATGAAGTGTACTAAATGTGATTTAAAACACACTGACATATATTACAGTAAAAAAATAATTTAAGAAACATTTTCAAATAATATTTAGAAAACTAAGTTCTTCATTCCCATCCACAAATGTGCTTGCCCATCCTCGCTTTTTTTTCTTATTCCTATAATGGCTCCATGACCTTCTAAGTTGCTGGAGTCTAATAAACGGTGCCCAATACCTGGACGTCTTCTTTCACTCTCCACCTCTTTCTCTACCTACCTAGTCATCACCGAAGCACTCAGCTGCTCAAGGTCTCTTATGATTTTCCCTCCCAATGCCATGAGTCGTTTATAATCCTTCACATATGCTATTACATCATCTCTCCTTTTCTTCTGCTCACTTCAATCCATACTGCTGAGAAAATCACCCTCCCAAGCATATTCACTAGCATATTCAAAAAATCTTTGGTAACTGCACATCACACACACCTTATGTGAAAGTCAAAGCCCACCATGATGATGATACCATCAGATTTCTCAACACTTCTTCCCATTTCCCCCTTCCATGTACTTTTTGCTTTCAACAAAAGTGCTCTCCTGCTTCTATGCTTTTGTTCAATCTGGAATTAGCGCCTAGTCTTTTCTTTATCTGCCCATTTAGCATCCTATTTCCAAGAAACTTTCCCTAAGCAACCAATTCTAAACATTTTGGCCAACGGTACCACTTTTTGTAGCACTCGCCCTTTCATACACATGTCCTCAAACCAATAAAACTAAGATTTTTGCAGGCAAAAATTATGCCCTGTCCCAAAGTACTCAGCCCAGTGGTTTAAACATAGTAGACACTCAAATATTTGCTAAATGCCTGATGCCCTTTACTTTTTCTTTTTCAGTGGCACCACCCCCCTATAGTTATGACCATGAGATGGAATACTGTGCCGACTTGCCACCTCCCTACTCCCCGACCCCACAGGCTTCAGCACAGCGTTCTCCACCCCCTCCTTACCCTGGAAATTCAAGAAAACAATCCTTCTCCCAGAACAGAATATGTGCCAATCAGAGATCTTGCCTGGAATAAAATGCCTCTACTCAGAAACAGGAAAGGATTGCTCTAAGGAATACTTTTTTGGGTCAAACAATATGTCAGGTGGAATATCCAGGCTAAGAAATACTGAGTTTTTACCCCTCTCTGAGCTGACCCCATCTGGAGTACTGTTTGGTTCAATGGTATCACATTTGAAGAGATGTACTGATCAATGCAGTCACATTCAGAGAAGAGTAATGAGACAGACAAAACATCTGAAAATCATATTGCTTAAGGAAACTACAATATTGATCCTGGAAAAGAGAAGAATGATGTAAGAGAGGAGAATAGCCTGGAGTACATAAGGAAACAACTATATTCTGTGTAGCTTTAAAAGTCAGAACTAGAATTATTCATTCTTTTGTTCATTAGTAAATACTGTTCAAGTGCATGAGAGCCTACTCTGTGCCTTTCACTGTTTAAAGCACTGGATGGAAGCTACAGAAACTTTGGTTTCTGGATAAGAACAAGGAACTTTGGTTTCAGGATAAGAAAGAGGAGTTGGAGCTTCCTTATTGACTAGATTGTTTTGTGAAGTTTCCTATTACCAAGACTTCAAACAGAATCTATCTGGTAGAGACATGTTCTAGAAAGGACAGCTAAATCAAATGGTAGATGGGTCCACTGGGACCCAAACATTCTGCTCATGGTTTAGTTAAGTGTGAAGTAAATTTCTATGCCTCCAAGAATGAAAACAATTAGAACAGTTTAATCTTATCTATTTAATTTGACAAGTTAAAACAGGATCAAAGGGACTCGACAGCTGCTTGAAGCCAAGAACTCTTCAGTGCTAGCTACTGCCATCTAAAAATCATCTGACTTTAGTGTTTTATTATGACAAAAGTTATTCCAACTGTGGGAAAAAAACACTGTATCAAGTTCTACAAACAACAGATACTTCATTTCAGATTAAAAGATTAGAAGCTGAATATTCCCATGGGATTTTACATCAGGGAGTAAAACTGTAGAACTTGACCGTGAAGATATATAACAGTTTATGAAAAGAAGAGAAAATGAAATTTGCATTCTGTTCTGTGGAATTCCATTCATATGTAGCTTAGACAGCTTTCTCTTCTGTAATATTTTGAAAATATATTCCCTTGAAAAAGTTATACAGTTAATAGAAAGGTTAAGATATTGACATCAAACTGTTGCCTTTTGCCAAAATCCAAATGTTATGAAGTGCCTACCTTCAAGTATAAAATTTTGGCTAAATAATTCTAATGTGCTGTATTTTGCTGCAAGTGACCTTAACATTTATATTTTTATGTGGGCCCTTTCATATATTTAAAATTTACATTGACAAAATATTGGGGGAGAGTGATGCCACCAAAATGATGACATACATCATTCCTGAATTTGCTCCCCCTTACGAGAACAACTAACAGCCATCCCAAAACAAGACGTCATTGAGAGAATCCTAGAACGCAGGACTGAAGCTGAAGAATACCCCCCACACAGACTTCAGAGACTGAGATAGACTGTATTAGAGGGGTAAGAGAAGTTACTGCATGTTGACTGTATTGCCTGTTCCCCAGGACAGTGCAGCACCATGGGGAGAGGTGTCTTCTGAGCCTCCACTTCCTCCAGTGGAAAAGAGAACCCAAGAGGGAACAACCAGCACTGCCCCCCCAGCATTGTGGGTCACTCGTGAGCACCCCTACTCTCATCCCATACCACTGGAATTGCAGGGCTCAGCCACTGGAAATATAACTATGACAGAGAATGAGGGAGGAGCTTACAACAACCAGCACATGGATGTTGGCAGACCAAGTTCATATTGGCAGTGCCCAAATAGTAATCTCAACCAGTGGCTTTGCTCATCTGTAGAACCAAGCTAGAAGTACACTCTGACTGGGGAACTTGGAGAGGTACAGATCTGCCTGATTCAGATCCTCAAACAAGATGTTTGCCAGTCCTATGGCCCAATTTGCTCATACGTAGGCAGGGTACTGAGTCACAGCCCCACACACTGTGGAGAGTGCCTTCAGCACCATCTGACCAGAAGGGCTAGAGACAACTCCTGGAAGCTGTGTGGCCCAGTGGCACTTGAGCTGAGAGAAGAGCAGACAGAGCCAGTAGTTTGCAGAGCCATTGGCCTAATTTGGCCAGGGAACTTAAGGCGTGGGTCTTCTTGAGTTAAGACAAAGAGCTTTACCAGTTTTACAGCTGCTTCTCCTATTGCACACAGAAAGGGAATCTAATTCATGGCCTTGCTCATGGCTAAATATAGCCTTCAGCTATCTGACCAGGGAACCTAACCAGAGCACAAGGGAAGCCATAGAGTCCATCTAACAGCTACATACAGTGGCGCTTGAACAGTGAGCACAACTTCCTCCATCTGCAGAGCATCACCTAAGCAGGGAATTCAGTGGACACTCAGGCCTGATTTGAAGCCCCCAAACAGTGATCTCTATGTGCCCTGAACCTGGGCTGCTGTCCTGCCAAGAAGAGAAGCAGGGAACATAACTCCATCTACTACTGAATACAGACCCAGTCCCAACCATCTAGTAAGCCTGAGCAGAGAATAAGGCAACTGAGGACCCCATCCTACAGCCTCACTTGGATAGCGAACCAAGCCAGGAGTCATATCCAACTATTTTCATCCAGTGGTACAATACCCCATCCCTGTCCATCCAAGGCAAGTTGCCTTGACCAAAGCAGTCCATAATAGCAGGCCCTGCCTGCCCAAAGACATTACCAACAGACACACCCAGCAAAATAAAATGAGCTGACTAGTGAAGAACTATCTGTGCCAAAGCAAACCTATAAAGTCTGGAAGAAGAGATTAATTACTCAAATACTCAGATACCAATGCAAGAAATCAAGGATCACGAAAAATCAGGTAAATATGATGCCACCAAAGGAAACTAATAAAACTCCAAGAACTGACCCTAAAAAAAATGGAAACCTATAAACTATCAGACAAAGAATTCAGAACAAATCTCTTAAAGAAGTTTAGTGAACTTCGAGAGAACAGAGACAGAAAACTAACAAAATTAGGAAAACAATGCATGAACAGGAGAAGTTTGACAAGGAAATAGCAACCATCAAAAAAACAAAAACAGAAATCTCAGAGTTGAAAAATACAATAAATGAACTGAAGAATTCAATAGAGAGTTTCAAAAGTAGATTCAAACATGCAGAAAAAAAAAATCATCAACCTGAAGGATAGGACATTGGAAATTACCCAAGGAGAAAGAAAGATTAAAAATAGCAAAGAAAGCCTATGGAAATTATATGACAATGAAAAGGAACAATATGTGCATCACAGGACGTCCAGAAGGAAAAAAAGAGAAAGGGACAGAAAGCAATAATGGCTGAAAACTTCCTGAACCTGGGGAGAAAAATGGATATATAGATCCACATGGCCCAAAGGATCCCAAACAGTTTGAACCTAAGGACAGAGGGCTACACTGAGACACATTATAATTATATAGTCAAAAGTCAAAGACAAAATATTTTTTAATAGCACCAAGAGGAAAGAGAGAACTAACATACAATGAACCCCCCATAAGACTATTGGATTTCTCAACAGAAACTCTTCAGGCCAGGAGAAAATGGGATGCCATATTCAAAACACTGAAAGAAAATAACTGTCAACCAAAACTGTATACCTGGAAAAGCTGTCCTTCAGAAATGAAGGAGAGATAAAGACTATCTGAACAAACAAAAGCTGAGGGGGTTAATTACAACCAGACCTACCTTACAAGAAACAAAACACAAAAAGGTAACATGAATCTCCCTGGCAATGAAAAATATATAGTCATAACTGGATTCTGCAATATGGTAATAGTGATACATCACTCACTCACAACTCTAGTTTAAAATTTTTTTAAAGGAATGTAGCAAAAATAACCATAAATACAATAATCTGTTATTAGTTACACCAGCTAAAAGAAATAAATTATAACTGCAATAATCTAAAATGTGAGGGGCAGAAGTAAAAGTATAAAGTATAAAAATTGTATTTATTTATAGGCTTAATATAGGTTTAAAATAGGGTGTTATGAGTTTAAGATATATTATGCATGCCTCATGGTAACCACAAGGGAAGATCTTGAGGTAATCACACAAAAGAACACAATAAATAAGTCAAAGCATACTGATACCAAAAAAATCGAAACACAAAAAAAGAAAGCAGGATAAGAAAGAAGGAACAACGGATCTACAAAGAAATGAGGAAAAAAAATTAACAAAATGGCAATAGTAAGCCCTTAACTATAAATAATTACATTAAATGTAAATGCATTACATTCTTCAATCAAAAGACATAGAATGGCTGAGTGTATTTCAAAAACAAGATCCAACAATATCAAACTAAAAGAGACCACTTTAGCCTTAAAGACACACATGGACTGAGAGTGAATATGAACAGACAGAAAAAAGACATTTAAAGCAAATTGTGCCAAAAAAAAAAAAAAGCAGGGATAGCTATATTTATATCAGACAAAATAGACTTTGAAAATAGTAAAAAAAAAAAAAAAAAGTCAAAGAAGGTCATTATGTGATGATAAAAGTGTCAACACATCAAGAAGATATAACAATTATAAATACTTAAGTGCCCAAGATAGGAGCACCTAAATATATAAAGCAAAACTAACAGAGCTAAAAGGAGAAATAAACAGTATTTCAGTATTTGAGGACTTTATTACCCCACTCTCAACAATGGATTGATCATCTAGACAGAGAATCAATAAGGAAATAGGAGAACAGTGGATTTTAACAACACTATAAGACCAAATGGACCTAACAGAAGTATACAGAACATTCTAGCCAACAACAGCAGAATATACACTCTTCCCAAGAGCACATGAAACATTTTCTTGGACCGACCATATGTTAGGCCACTAAACAAGTCTTAGCAAATTCAGGAAGACTGAACTCCTACCAGGTATCTTCTCTGATCGCAATAGTGTGAAACTAGATGAAACTAGTGTGAAACAGGAGGAAAACCAGAAAATTCACAAACATATAGAAATTAACACTGCCCTCAACAACCAGTGGATCAAAGAAGAAATTAAAGGGGAAATAAAAAAGTTTATTGAGAAACAAAAATGGAAACACAACACACCAGAACTTCTGGGATGTAGCAAAAGCAGTTCTAAGAGAGTTCATAATAATAAATGCCTACAGTAAGAAGCAAGAAAGATCCCAAATAAACAACCTAACTCTATGCGTTAAGGAACTAGAAAAAGAAGAACAAATTAAACCCAAAGTTAGCAGAAGAAAATAATGAAGATTACAACAGAAATAGAGAAGAGAAAAATAATAGAAAAAAATAAACCAAACTAAGTGTTGGCTCTTTGAAAAGATAAAACTGACAAAACGCTAGCCAGACCAACTAAGGAAAAAAGAGAAAGGACCCAAATCAACACAATTACAAATAGAAAAGGAGACTTACAGCTGATACCACAGAAATTCAAAGGATCATAAGAGATTCTGCCAATGAGAATGTAAACTGGTGCAGCTACTGTGGAAAATAGTATGGAGAAATCTTTAAAAAATTAAAAATAGAACTACCAAATGACCTAGAAATTCCACTTCTGAGAATATATCCAAAGAAAATGAAAATACTACCTCAAAAAGATATCTTGTACCCCCATGTTCATAACAGCATTATTTACAATAGCCAAGACATGGAAACAATCTAAGTGTCCATCAATAGATGAATGGATAAGGAAGTTGTGGGGTGTGTGTGTGTGTGTGTGTTTACACAAAGGAATGTAATTCAGCCATTAAAAAATTAGGAAATCCTATTATTTGGGACAACAAGGATGGACCTTAAAAGTAATATGCTAAGGAAATAAGTTAGATTAAAAAAAAAAGATAAATCCCATATGATCTCACTTATATGTAGAATCTTAAAGAAAACAACAACTCATAGATAAGGAGATCAGACTTATGGTTTCCAGAGGTGGGGGGTGGGAGGATTGGGAATTAGAGGAAGGTGGTCAAAAGTTACAAACTTCCAGTTATAAGATAAATAAGCACTAGGGATGTAATGTACAACATAAGGACTAGAGCTAACACTGCTATATGATATATAGGAAAAGTGTTAAGAGAGTAAATCCTAAGAGTTCTCATCATAAGAAGAACATTTTTTTCTTTTATTCTTCTTTACTTGCATTTTATTGTATCTATATGAGAAGATGGATGTTAGCTAAACCTACAATAATAATCATTTTACAACATATGTAAATCAAACCATCATGCTGTATGCCTTAAAGTTATACAGCGATGCATGTCAGTTATTTCTCAATAAAACTGAACAAAACAAAACCGTGTATCACTTCTATTCACCAAAAGAACACTGTGATGAACACAACTTGCTAGTAGCTGGTTAGAAAGATCTTTTTTAAAAAAAAAAAGATTTTATTTATTTATTCATGAGAGACAGAGAGAGAGGCAGAGAAGCAGATGCCCTGCGGAGCAGGAAGCCCGATGTGGGACTCTATCCCAGGACTCTGGGATCATGACACGAGCTGAAGGCAGACACTTAACCTACTGAGCCACCCAGGAACCCTAGAAAGATCTTCATTACAAGTCTGCTTAAACACTGCACTGCATGCATAAAAAAATACTGGGAAGAGATGTTCAAATTTTTATGTCACTTTGCAATGAAATCTAAAATGTTTAATGTAACATCATCATCATAATTCAGTGAAGTCCCAAAATGATGCTCAGAATTTTGCTGAATAAAATAATGAAAATAAATGTCTTAAGGTATAAAATTATAGTTCCTGTCCTTATAGTTAGGAAACTTAGTAGTTCACATAAGTAGCATATTTTCTTTCAAATACATTGATCTGACTGAAATGAGGTCTATCTGTCAGTGAGATCTAAAAGCTAGATTTGTTTTGAATGACTTGCTTGATTTGTAGGCGCTGATGATTTTCTGACTTATAAGGACACAAAGAATTCGAGAGTTCCAGCCTATTCTAGGGACTGGAATTTTAGCAGTACATATGCTTTCTCTCTCTTCTGCAAGTGTGATCAGATCCAATTACACGGCAGCTCTGCAACTCAAACTGGGGGGGTCTCCGTGACATTCACAATGTTGGTTGCAAATGAGCCATAAATTCCTTAAGAAAAATGGAGAGGAAAAGACCAGCGCAAATTGAATTCTCATCATCTTTGCCGTCAATAAACATTTACTGCATACCTCCTATGTTCTGCAAACATTACCCACATAGGGAGCCATCTGAGTCCACACCATTGTTTTATGGCTTCCCTTAAGGCACAGCATAGACCCAAAGACCTACAAGCAATGACTATTTTTACTATTTATGTTTAGTGTCAGAAGAGCATAAATGTGCACATTATCCATATAGACTTTTGGAGTTCACTGATATTTTCCTAGATGATACACATTGAAGGAAAATACTATATAATGTGAAAGCTTTGAATTATGGTTATTTAAAAACTAATGTGTGTTCTGTGGCCAGAGTGTTTACAATAAACAATAAAATGAAATAACTCACCATAACGGGTTATATTTTAATTGTCTTGTGCCCATTTTGTTTCACCCTTCATTTCTGCTGATTTAGCCTCATTCTTTTGTACAGAAACACAGGACTGAAGCCAAATAGACTTTATTTTGAATCCTGTCTCCTGCCTGTATGATGGGAGACAGGCCACTTTGTCTCTATGAAATTTAACTTTCTGCTCTGGAAAATGTAAATAATATAATGAGGTTCATCAGGTTTTGTGAAAATTGGATGAATACATGCAAAATTCTAAGTATACTGCCTGACACATAGGAAATGTTCTATAAATATTAGCCAAAAATAAATTAACGAAAGAATACCATAAGGATGACAGCCTCTGGAATTATGCTATCCCACACGTTAGCCACCAACTACATATGGTTATTTGAATTTAAATAAATTGAAATTAAATTAGATGAAAAATCCACTTCTTTTGTCTCACTAACTGCATTCCAAATGCTGCATCGATAGCCTCAAGTAACTAGCAGCTAGCTCACTGGGCAGTGCTTCTCTAGAAAAATCTATGCAATGAGGTAGCAGGAAGGGGGTAAAGAAGCAGCACTACAGTCATCTGGTCCAGGAGAAACTGTGCACTTTGTCATTAATTGTGACGTCTTCCACAAATAGATGCCATGGCTGTGGAAGTAAGACTGTGATCTACAATGAGAAGCCCACTCAGTCTCTTCTCAGGGCCAGAAGCAGGGAAGCTATTGCAAGAGCTGAAGGGCTAAATCTAGAAGAGGGACTCTGGACCTGGCCCAGGAGCTGGTCAGACAGCTCACAGGCTACTCCATTCTGCTGAGCTGCCCTTCTCAGCTCTAGAAGCCACTCTACGAGCACCCAGGGCCAAACATATCTTCCTAGGGTGCAGCACTGAGGTGTGCTCTTCCATTATTTCATAATCTTGTTCCTGATACCAAACGAAAGCAGCACTTACCATTCACCCATTCTACTTTCAACCTATCCTTGTTTAGCCAAACCCATTTCACTAACTTTTGGCTCTAAGTGAGGGAGACTCCAGGATGCATCAGACTATGTGGATCTCCATCAAAAGTGGAGATCTGGGTGCTATTGCTTTATTTGTAACTTAATTAAAACAACCTAACATCAGACTACCCAAGTCACATGATCATCTTCCTAATCACCATGGAAGTTGCTAAGGACTTCCAGATCCTCAGTCAGAATGTAGTTGAAATGTGGAATTTTAATTTTCTAATTATAGGCCCAAGCTGCCAGAGGGGGGATAGCTGAACTTGTAAGTTCAATGCTCTTCTGCTACAATCCCACTGTGTGGTATGATTCATTTCAAACTGTGTCAGGACCTCCAGAAAAGAAAGCACCACAACGAGCTTTAAAAAAGATCTCCAGGTGATTCTGATTTCCATCCTAAGCCTTATCCCACCCTTGCCACCTAGGAACGTTAAGGCAGAGGAAGGATCAAAGGCTTCAGAGTAAGAGAGACTTTGTTTCTCTTTCATCTCTGTCACCTTCTAGCTATGTGCTCTACACCAAGTAACTTGGTTGCCATAACCTCAGTTTTATCCAAAATATGTGAATAACACCACCCCTGCCAGGTTGTTGCAATGATTATAAACAGTATACTGAAAACGTCTGTCATAAAGATTCTATCTGGGTTGGTGACTCAGACAGACACAAATATATATACCTATTCTCTTTCCAATTTTTGTACTCCCACTTCCGAGCCTTACCACTTCTATAAGCAGATAAATACCATTGCTGTGTAGCAAATTAGTTTAGCACTTAGCCGCTTGAAACAACACCATTAACGATCTCAGTTTCTCTAGGCCTGGAACCTGGGTGTGGCTTAGCTGAGTCCTCTGGCTCAGGGACTCCCTTTGGAGTCATCTCAGTGTGCATCTGAGGGTCTGCCTCCAAGCTCATTCACACACATGGAGGATTCTGTTGACACGATTCTATGCCTTATAGGCTTTTGGACTAAGGGCCTCATTTACTCACTGGCTATTTGCCAGAGACCACCTGCTACTTGAAATATGTCAGCTTGCTTCCCCAGTACAAGCAAGCAACGATAGCCATAAAGTGAGAGAACATGCTAGCAAAATATAGTGCCAGCAAGAGGGGAGTCACAGACTTAAAACCCAATCTTGGAAGTGACATCCTATCACTTTTGCCACTTTCAGTTCCTTAGAATCAGGTCACTAGGTCAAGGCTGAACAAAAAGAGGAGGAGATTACATGAGGGCACAAATACCAGGAAGCGAGAGCATTAGCTATCTTAGTAGTCAGCCTACCATGGCAGGGATATTTCATCTCATTCTCTGTAAGTCCATTATTTGGAGTTTAGGCAATCTTCCCTCTAACAGGAATATACCAGCTCAACAGCTGAAAGAATCGCAGGGCCAAGCTTGGCTGTGACCAAATTGCTTTTAGTGAACTGACAGGGGTAGGACAGAGCCAGCGACAATCATGGGGCCATGCCACCTGGGGGAGTGCCGCTCAGGAATACCGAATGGAGACGCACCACATTTGTGTTTCTCCTGAGCTTCATTTACGAGCTGCACTAAAGCACATCGCATTTTGGCACAGACTGAAGTAAACCACACACCACATACCTTATAAACAAGTCTTAACGTGGCCCCAGTTCGAACCTTTGTTTCAACTTCATTCCAAGATATTTCATCTCCATCAAGAAAAGAATTCCGAGACCAGTTTCCAGATGAGTGTTCAGCAGATCGAGTTGCCACCTAACCTAATCTTGAATACCTTCACTAAAAATGGAAAACAAATCTAAGGGAATGTTTGGAACTGCAGAAACATGTGCTGGGAATTTTGCCTTCTCTGGATGCCTTAAGGAATAAATGGTTTTAAAAAATTGTTCGGTGAGACGCTTTGATTCCCGTTTTGGCTCTGCTTCGCCTCTTCCAACCCAGCTCTGAGCAGCTTTTCAGTGTGTGCTGCCTGACACATCTTAGTGTGAGAGGAGGCAGGGAAATCATTTTCTGAAACACATTTGGATGTAGGCAATAAGCAAATAAGAGATCTCATCTTGTTTCCATGACCTGAAGGATGGATAGAACCAAATGATCCAACGTTCCCATTTTTTGTATCTTATTGTTAAGTTAGTGTCTTCATTATCACACATCTTGTGTATTATTTTCTCTGTTGACTGGGAAGAACTTGAAGGCACTTCAGAAGAATTAAATAGTTGAAAGTCCAGTTCCTTCTGCTTTGTCTGTGAAAATGCAGCGAGAGACCCACTCCCTGGGTCTCTCACCACCACCTGAACACACAAGACAAACTTTCTTCTTCAAAACCTCTTTGACTTCTTCTGCGGAACTTCTGCTCATCTTTCCAGACGTAGCTAAAGGGTTTATACTCTAAGAGGTGTGGTTATTTCTCCAGTCAGAATTCATGGATTCTCACCTCTGCCCCTGTTGGTACCTATTTTGTACCCTTCTTATATACCTTGTCACAGATTTGTTAAATGTGTTTTTAAGAATTAGAGGAAGAGAGTTTAGAGTGAGCAGCATATTCTCTGTGGTGGTCCATAATCCAAGATAGGGGTCAGAGAACTGGATAAAAGGCTACAGTTTCATAGTTTTTAACTGATGATATATGTCCATCCAGATATAGCTGGATTGTGTTCTTAAGCATAGTATTAATACATGTCCACTTAAGTAAATGAACATGCTCATCTTGACTGACTCAGTGAAACAAGACAACATGCCAGTTTGGAAGTGGTGCTCTTATAATTCTTCAGATTAAAATCAAGCTCATTTTTTTTTTACCAATAACCAATGATTTAGCATTTATTATGTGCCAGACTCTGTTCTTTTTTATTTAAATTCAATTAGCCAACTTATAGTATATCATTAGTTTCAGGTCTAGTGTTCAATAATTTATCAGTTTCATATAACACCCAGTGCTCATCATATCATGTGCCCACCTTAATGCCGATTGCCCAGCTACCCACTACCCATCTCCCCCTAGCCACCTCCCCTCCAGCAACCCTCAGTTTGTTCCCTACAATTATGAGTCTCTCATAGTTTTTCTCCCTCTGCAATGACTTCCCATTCTGTTTTCCCTCCCTTCCCCTACTGTCCTCTGCCCTGTTTCTTATACTCTACATATGAGTGAAGCCCATATAATTACTGTCTTCTCTGGCTGACTTATTTCCCTCAGCATAATACCCTCCAGTTCCATCCACATTGATGTAAATGGTAAGTATTCATCCTTTCTGATGGCTGAGTAATATTCCATTGTATATATATACCACATCTTCTTTATCCATTCATCTGTCGATGGACATCTCAGCTCTTTCCCCAGTTTGGCTCTTGTGGACATTGCAGCTATGAACATTGGGGTGCAGGTGCTCCTTCGGATCACTACATTTGTATCTTTGGGACAAATACCTAGTAGTGCAATTGGTGGGCACAGGGTAGCTCTATTTTTAACTTCTTAAGGAACTTCCATACTGTTTTCCAGAGTAGCTGTACCAGCTTGCATTCCCACCAACAGTGTAAAAGGGTTCCCTTTTCTCCGCATTTTCACCAACATTTGTTATTTCCTGTCTTGTTAATTTTAGCCATTCTGACTGCTGTGAGGTGGTATCTCATTGTGGTTATTATTTGTATTTCCCTGATGACAAGTGATGTGGAGCATTGTTTCATGTCTGCTGACCATTTGTATGTCTTCTTTGGAGAAATGTCTGTTCATATCTTCTGCCCACTTCTTGACTGGATTGTTTGTTTTCTGGGTGTTGAGTTTGATAAGTTCTTTATAGATCTTGGATACTAGCCCATAATCTGATATGTCATTTGCAAATATCTTCTCCTATTCTGTAGGTTGCCTTTTAGTTTTGTTGACTGTTTCCTTTGCTGTGCAGAAGCTTTTTATCTTAATGAAGTCCCAATAGTTCATTTTGCTTTTGTTTCCCTTGCTTTGGAGACATGTTTAGCAAGAAGTTGCTGAGGCCAAGGTTGAAGAGGTTGCTGTCTGTGTTCTCCTCTAGGATTTTGATGGATTCCTGTCTCACATTTAGGTCTTTCATCCACTTTGAGTTTATTTTTATGTATGGTGTAAAAAAAAGTGGTCCAGTTTCATTCTTCTGCATGTGGCTGTCCAATTTTCCTAGCACCATTTATTGAAGAAACTGTCCTTTTTCCATTGGGAGACTATCTTTCTTCCCTGCATTGTCAAAGATTAGTTGACCATGGAGTTGAGAGTCCATTTCTGGGTTCTCTATTCTGTTCCATTGATCTATGTGTCTGTTTTTGTGCTAGTACCATACTGCCTTGATGATGACAGCTTTGTAATAGAGCTGGAAGTCCGGAATTGTGATGCCACCAGCTTTGGTTTTCTTTTTTTCAACATTCCTTGGCTATTCAGGGTCTTCTCTGTTTCCATACAAATTTTAGGATTATTTGTTCCATCTCTGTGAAAAATGTTGATGGTATTTTGATAGGGATTACACTGAATGTGTAGATGCTCTGGGTAGCATAGACATTTTAACAATATTTATTCTTCCAATCCATGAGCATGGAATGTTTTTCCATTTCTTTGTGTCTTCCTCAATTTCTTTCTTAAGTGTTCTGTTTTGGAGTTTTTGGAGTACAGATCCTTTACTTCTTTGGTTAGGTTTTTTCCTAGGTATTGTATGGTTTTTGGTGCGGTTGTAAATGGGATCGATTCCTTAATTTCTCTTTCTTCTGTCTCATTGTTAGTGTATAGAAATGCAACTGATTTCTGTGCATTGATTTTGCGTCGTGCCATGTTGCTGAATTCCTGTATGAGTTCTAGCAATTTTGGGGTGGAGTCTTTTGGGTTTTCCACATAAATTATCATGTCATCTGTGAAGAGTGAAAGTTTGACTTCTTCTTCCAATTTGAGTGCTTTTTATTTCTTTTTGTTGTCTGATTGCTGAAGCTAGGACTTCTAGTACTATGTTGAACAACAGTGGTGAGAGTGGGCATCCCTGTCATGTTCTTGACCTTAGGGGAAAAGCTCTCAGTTTTTCCCCATTGAGAATGATATTCACTGTGGGCTTTTATGATATTGAGGTATGTTTCCTCTATCCCTACACAGTGGAGAGTTTTAATCAAGAAAGGATGCTAATACCAACCAAATATCAGAAAAGAATTGCCTCATAAATCACCTTTCCCATAGAATAGATTACAATGTAATTTAGACTTCAGAAGCAGTATCCAAAGGATTCACTAAAGGCATTTTTACTAAAATAAGATGTCACAGTTTTCACAGTGCCATTTCTTTGGGGTCTGTAAAAAAAAAAAAACAAAACAAAACACTGAATATTCAGAAATGAAGCAAGAAGAAAACGGCTGGAAATAGGGTTTAAAATAAAATGGCTACCAACTTTTGTGCTTTTATTATTTGATATGTATAGAGAGCAACAGTGCATTTATCCAAGTTCTGAAAAGGAGTAATACAACTATAAAAAGATTCTAAATGAAATGATCCTTAGAAATCTATTACCTTACATCATCATATTTTTTTTTTTGGTACTAGGCACTGTTCTAAGCACTTTACACTTAATTACATTGAATCTTCCAATCCCAGGGTATACATATTATTAGTCCCATTTTGCAGATCTAGAGACTGCAAATGTATCACTTTATAGTCTTAACAAATTTTTTTCCAGTGAGAATAAATTGCTAATGATGCAAAGAAATATCTGCATATTTACTCTTTGCTTGTAAGGGCTACCCATGGTGATCCTGTGGCTGGTCACAGAAGCTGCCTTTCCATGGCTGGAGTTCCAAGTGGATGATTATACATGTTTGAACAATCTTAATGACTCATATTCTTCTCTTTGGGCTTCTGTTGCAATTCCTCACTTAGTCTTCTTCAGTTCCAGTTATTATGTACACTGTGAATGAAATGGAGAGTGAAAGGACTCTTTTATCTCTGATACAGCACCTGGTCCCAGCAGACACCTTCACCCAATTATCTCCCAGGGCATGATTTTCACTAATACAGAAACCACTCTGAATTTTCTGTGAATGCTCTATATTTCCTTTTGACCAGGACAAAGGGATGAGTCAATATTTATAAAAAAGAGATAAAAGAAGGGGACATATGCAAAATGATGTAAACTTTTAACAAATAATTTTGAAGGGACAGTCAGGAATGTTGGTAGCACGAATGAAAACTATAAAAATTGGTATCTACTTTGTTCATATCTCAATATTCCTACGGAACTGGTTGTGAGCTTTCTGTTATACATTTAAAAGAAAACTCAAGATCTCTGCAGAATTTTAAAAGAAAAAAATACATATAAACAATAAAATATTAAACTAGACAATAACAATATGGTAGGATAGTTAGGGAAAATGTTTAAATAAGAAAAAGGCAGGACTAGTCTTCTAGATAATTCTGCATAAACAGCAAAGTCTTACAGTAATCCAGGAATAAAGTCGTTTTGCCCATCATGAAGCTATATATGAATGAATGTCAAAATTAAAATATTTATGAGGTTTGTGTTTCTCCAGGCCACAGCAATCTAGTAAATGGTACCTCCCATCCTGGGCCTCATCTGCTACTGTAGGACTTCCAGACTCCTACAAAGAAAGAGGATTCCCCAGAGACTATTTCTAGGTACTCCTATCAGGTTGCATCTTCCAGTTTCTTTCTCTCCAACTCCCCTTGACTGATGTTATTGACTAGCCATATGCCAACCACTAGATTGCATGAAGGTCATTTGGCACTGCCATGCTGCTAAGGACCACCATTAAGATGGTTTGGTGTGCCCAGCCACCAGTACTGTTGTTACTGCAGGAAATTCTGGGTATTGCAGTAGCAGAGCAGAGCTATCCTGGAGAATGACTGGGGTGCTGTGTCCGCCTCTGGCTGTTGTTAAAACCTACTGGCCACAGATGCCAATAGAGTTAGGACAAACACACACCTTGAGGCCTGGGCCACTGAAAGGGTAGAGTCTCCAATATGCCAGAGCTTCCTATGTTCTCTCTATCCCTTAACAAATGAAGAAAATGTTGCACTTTGAGCTAACTGGGAAAACTGCTCTTCTTCTGAAGATGCTAAGCTCAAAGAAGCAATAGTGCATGTTCCCAAGATCTCAGGGGCTATCTTGTGAAAATATTGCTTTCATTTTTGACCTAACATCCTCTTCTCTCCCTTAAACTTAGACATAGGTCTACAAGGAAAGAGCTTTAGGACAAATTCTAGTGATAGACATTGTGCTCTTATTCAAAAAAAAAAAAAATCCACTCTTCTCTGAAAACTGGGACATTTTATGGGAACATAATTCTGCCCCTTTCCTCCCTGAGGATGAACCTTGCCCAGGAGACTTCATCATTTCTCATACAAATAAAATCTCAGTGAATCTGCTCCAGATGTCTACTCAGTCTTTTGGACATGCTGGGAGTGAACAGTTGACATTCAATGTGGGCAACTGCCTTGTGCACTACAAACAAAATAAATGGTTTCAATGACTAGCCCATGTCTCCCAGTAAAGAATAAATAGCTATAAAGTAGAACTTAACTGAAACTAGTGTTTGGTCAAATTCAAATGGAGAGAGAAAATAATTTTATCAAACTATTTAGATGAAGTCATTATTTCATTTTTTTATGTGATTTGACTATCATTTTGGCAATCTGTAGACAAGTGCTTAAGGACAGGATAGTAGAAACCAAAATAATGGCCAAATGTTTATTCATTATATAACAACTTTTGAGCAAATATATGGCATGATATAAGATACCTGAAGTGTTGCATGAACAAAATGCTGAATAGAAATAAAAGTCCTCTTTGTGTTAAGCCTTTCTGTACCACATACCTCACATCTTGTCCTTCCAGATCAAAT